ACCAAATAATTTTTAATACATTAATTTAAAAAAAAACATAGTTGCGAAAAAGAGAAATTAGATCAAGGAAAGGAACTCTCGGCTATATACATTTACGCTAACTTAAGCGGTTTTCAACAGTTGTGTTCTGACACACGCATGTGTCTCGACTGTTCTGTGAACTGTGTCCCAAGAAAATGAATATATGTAAACACTTTTCGGTCTGTATTGGCTCGTACAAAGTTAGGTCATGCTTGGATGGCAAACAATCTCATACGAACATCTGATTCGACAATCTGAGACGACAATCTGAGCCGACAATCTGATATGACAATCTGAAACGACAATCTGAAACGACAATCTGATACGACAATCTGATACGACAATCTGAAACGACAATCAGATACGACAATCTGAAACGACAATCTGAAACGACAATCTGATACGACAATCTGAAACGACATTCTGAAACGACAATCTGATACGACAATCTGAAACGACAATCTGATACGACAATCTGAGACGACAATCTGATACGACAATCTGAAACGACAATCTGATACGACAATCTGATACGACAATCTGATACGACAATCTGAAACGACAATCTGATACGACACTCTGAAACGACAATCTGATTCGACAACCTGATACGACAATCTGATACGACAATCTGATACGACACTCTGAAACGACAATCTGATTCGACAACCTGATACGACAATCTGATACGACAATCTGATACGACAATCTGATACGACAATCTGATACGACAATCTGATACGACAATCTGATACGACAATCTGATACGACAATCAATCATGAGGAACATTAATCAGTAGCGTTTCTTTTAATGACTTTTTGGGTGGCTCACATAGCACGGGCCGCTGGAAACTTTGAAATTAAAGATGTCTGGATTAACTCTTTAGTTTGAAGATAACTGTATTCAGTAATAAGACACACAAGTATTCGGAGTGAAAGACTGTTTGGTTTCTGAAGAAAACGTCTGTTTTCAAACGGTTTGCCCACTGCCTTTGTGTGTGTGTGTGTGTTTGTAGTGTCAAAACCTTTTGGTCCTTGTGTGACAACATTTCAGTCGCAATGAGAAGATACCCTGACACTCGATATGAACAAAAAGCCTAGTGCTGGGCCTTGGATCAAAGCTAAGAGCAGGGCCTTGGGTTCGCATTTTGGGAACTGTCCAAGTCTATAGAGAATTTTTTTTTTTCCCAAAGGGATATAAATCAAGATCCTCGTCGCTTATTGAATACCTTAGTAAACTCAATACATGTCCAACAAAAAAGACACATGAATTGTACTCTGGGAAAGGTTGCTGAAATATTGGCCACAAATGCTGTCTTTATTTTTTCCTATATGAATAAAATAAAATATATTTAAAAAAAACTATATTAATAAATTTCTGTAAAAATAACAACATCCTTTTTGTTGTCCATGCGTTAAAAATAAACGAAAACAAAACAACAACAACAAAAAAAAAACACAACACAACACAACAACACACACACAAACGCCCCCTCCCCCAACAAACACATACACACTCAACAATATTAACAGCCAACAGACAACGTGCAAACTAAACAGCTACCGACGTATACACCCTACCAGTTAGACAGACATTCACGTACCAGTTAGACAGACATTCACAGACACGTCAGACAGACATTCACGTACTAGTTAGACAGACATTCACAGACACGTTAGACAGACATTCACGTACCAGTTAGACAGACATTCACAGACACGTTAGACAGACATTCACGTACCAGTTAGACAGACATTCACAGACACGTTAGACAGACATTCTCGTAACCAGTTAGACAGACATTCACAGACACGTTAGACAGACATTCACGTACCAGTTAGACAGACATTCACAGACACGTTAGACAGACATTCACGTACCAGTTAGACAGACATTCACAGACACGTTAGACAGACATTCTCGTAACCAGTTAGACAGACATTCACAGACACGTTAGACAGACATTCACGTACCAGTTAGACAGACATTCACAGACACGTTAGACAGAAATTCTCGTAACCAGTTAGACAGACATTCACAGACACGTTAGACAGACATTCACGTACCAGTTAGACAGACATCCACAGACATGTTAGACAGACATTCACGTACCAGTTAGACAGACATTCACAGACACGTTAGACAGACATTCACGTACCAGTTAGACAGACATTCACAGACACGTTGGACAAACATTCACGTACCAGTTAGACAGACATTCACAGACACGTTAGACAGACATTCTCGTAACCAGTTAGACAGACATTCACAGACACGTACCAGTTAGACAGACATTCACAGACACGTTAGACAGACATTCACGTACCAGTTAGACAGACATTCACAGACACGTTAGACAGACATTCACCACCTTGGTCAGGGACACAATCCCAGAAAACCAACTGTAGAGCTGCTTGTTCAAGCAAGTGGGGCGGCAGAAAGTTTGTTCCTAAAGCGGGCTGTTCTTTAACTGGCTACGTCACAGTCATGTGACCCACAACCTGTTAAATGTTATAATTTTACCTAGCGATTTTAAAGATTCGATCTGATTCTTCTTAATGCATATATGTGTGTTAGGTATGTATTTGTGTGAGATTGAGTGATTGTGTGCGTATGTGTGTATGTATTAAATTTTTTTTAAAAAATTCAGATATAAACAGTCGAATCGTGACTGAATCGTGACTGAATCGTGACCGAATCGTGACCGAATCGTGACCGAATCGTGACCGAATCGTGACCGAATCGTGACCGAATCGTGACCGAATCGTGACCGAATCGTGACTGTGAATCGTGACTGTGAATCGTGACTGAATCGTGACTGAATCGTGACCGAATCGTGACCGAATCGTGACCGAATCGTGACCGAATCGTGACTGAATCGTGACCGAATCGTGACCGAATCGTGACCGAATCGTGACTGAATCGTGACCGAATCGTGACTGAATCGTGACCGAATCGTGACCGAATCGTGACCGAATCGTGACCGAATCGTGACCGAATCGTGAC